GCAATTGGCTCCAGCCCAATGCCCCCTCACTCGCAACGGTAGCCCCAGAAAAAGAAGCCGTGCTTCCCCAACCTGCGCCTGCAACGTCTTTGTTAGCCTGGGTAAGAAGGGATACAGGGGATACAAAAATGTCAGTAGAGGCTTCGACCCTTGACTACAATGAGTCACTGAGCCTTTCCGCTCACGGTCCTTGGCATCGTTCTGGTGCCCTAGTAGCCTGTGTCCATGATGGGAGCCCCAAGGCTCTCCTACAGTGTCGCGTCATGCCTTGGTGTGCGTGCATTCTGGTTTGACCCAGAGTCCCACTCGCGACGGTGTTCTTGATTCCGTGAAACCCGGAAAGTGTTGCCAGTACTGGGGTGCTGGGTGAAAGTTTGGCAGTTTTGTCTGGATGTTGGGCGGATGCGGCTGAAGGGACTGGAAGGATCTGGAAGGGGTGATTCCTGTGCCTCAAAGGCTTTGGTGTGATCATCGCCCAGAGCGTAGTGGATCACTGTCGACTTGCGGGCACTTGCAGCGAGGATGCTCGGCGAACACTGGCCAAAACTCCATAATTAAGCGCAGGCACCGGGCTTAGGCTTAGGGTGAACAGTAAGAGAAAACGATGGGATGATGGATAGCAAGTCATGGCTGGCAGTGCTCTCGTCGTTGAAGTTTCGTGATGCGCGCCGGCGAGTGCACTCACGACTCACGGTCTGGTATCGTGCCATGCCCCGCAGCACTGTTCAGAATGACAGGTGTCACGGTTCCCAGCTTTCTTTCATAAGATGGTAGTCAATCTAAGCCCAGCACCTCCAGGATTGTTCTGCATCCGTCCGAGCTGCATGAGCAAACCCGCCCCCCCCCCCCCCCGCCCACCCCCGCACTGCGACTTTGGTAGGCTATGATGGTTCTGAAATCCCAGACCCTGGACTATAGGCCCTATAGACCCGAAGGTCTGAGGTCAGGTTTTCTCGCACCTTTTCTTGCCATCCCTGAAGGGCCTTCAAACCTCACAGTCGCACCTTCACACACCTCTCACCAAAGGTGCTTGTAACAAAACGCCTGGGGTTTAGGGGAACTTAAGGAACCTACATGACTGGGTGTAGACTCAACCCAATGAAGCCGTGCCAAGACGCTTCACTACTACTGGGTCGGCGTGCGGCACTGCATGCTGACACTCTTTCTCTCCATCACTGGCGGATTGAGACACTTGACCAATGACGATTCTTGCTCTAGGCCTTGGCAACCTACTGACACTACTTGTGCCCCAATAAGACCCATCAGCAAGCAGCTGGAGGTAATGGTTATACTATTATACGGTATGCGGTACAAGGTTCGGAGTTGCGGCTATAATCTTAAGAAAGGCTTGGGGCAACTCCTTGATGATTCTGTTGTTGTGTAGGTCCGGGGCAGTGGCACTCTGTTGCACGGTGTTAGCCTGCGCATGCGAGGGTTGTGGGTGGAGGCTTTTGAAGCTTGCTCGATTCTTGGGATGTGTGCAGACTCAAGGTGCGCGATACCCCACGCTCCCCTCAACTCCTTCAAAAACCCTAAACCCTAAACCCTAAACCCTAATAAAACCCTAAATTCAGCCCGAGCAGCGGCGCCCCATCCTCAGGTTGGAATGAGGCCTTAGATCCATTGTGGGAGGTCTCCAGCGTCGCAGTGGCAAGCTTGATCCTGTACCTCGGCTCCGGTGCTCGTTTTGGGTGCAGGGATGAGGTCTTCTGAACCCATGCAAAGCCATTCAAAGGGCGAAGGGCCCCATTCTTTCACCCAAAAACTTCAGGGCTACGGAGTCAGACTCCCAGATGAGGGTCAACATCGTGGTGAGGTCTTTTAGAGCTTGTTGCGCTTGTGCTTGGCGGTCAGGCTTTCCAATGCAGTTTCGGGGCATGTGTCTTTTCCCCGGCTGCTATTGCCACGCCAGCTTGAGAAGATTATACATGGTCAACTCCTCCTTTTTGAGCAGCTTGGTCGAAAAGAAAGCCTGCAGATGAGCTCCGAGAATCTGCGCACGGTCGTCTGTATCTGCAGAGGACTGGACACCTGAACATGTTGCGGAGTCGCGGAGTCGACGACATGTGCATTCAGCATAGCCTGCGTGGCGGAGAAACCAATCCACCCGAACACGAATATTACACGGGTGGAGTCCTGGCCGGACTCGGGGGATGCCCTTGCCAAGATTGTGAGGGTCTTGTAGACTCATGACCCAACTTTCGTCCTACCTGAATACTAGTCATCTACACAGTTCCTGCCCCTGCAACGCCATTTAGGCACCAGTGTCGACAGACACATGTGCCGTCTGAAGAAGGCATGCCGTTCGACAGATGCTTTAGAGTCTCCAGTCTTATGCTTAGATTCGCCGACAAGGGCCCGTGACCATTATTCAGACACAGAAGAGACCACGATATAAGCCATCGCTTCACTCATTCTGACATGCAGATCACACGTGTGTCACACACCTATAAACCACATACGACATACCCATGGACATGTCGACTCACAGGTATGCACAGCCTGTTGCTGACTGGCTATCATTCCCGCCGGCAAATAAACGTACATAACTCCAGGCAGACAGACTGACACGGTATTTCTGCATGAAGAAACCTTCTCGTCTCAACAATCAACAAAACTAGGCCTACAGCATCGTTTGCTAGTTGGGTCTTCATCTGAATGCGAAAAACCTGTTAGGATCGTATTACATCTGCTTAAGGCTCCAATGGATAGACTCTTTTCCGCTTGATATCCAAGCCAGCAGTGGGAGCCGCTGACATTCATAGAGCCCGGCAACAATCGGTCTTGCACCGGCTCATTACAGACACATACTGGTCCCCCTCGTCGCAGAGATGTCGTCGCAAGACCATGTTCCGCAGAGTTTGGGCTGATTTTCCGGTGCTTTCAGCATGCCTCAGAAGCCATTAAAAACCCTGGATCGCCGATGGAGGATGTGTGGACGCACTACTGGGCCCACTGCGGCTGGCCTGCACTTCGGCGTCTGTGCGGGCATTGGTGAGTCCGCAGCTGCTTGCGCGGGGTGGACAGTCAGGGGCCTTGAACCTTTGCTGGAGGGTCGCCAGCGATGCTTGTGGAGGCTCCCTGAGACGGCAGAGGGGACGGCACACTTAGGCATCCCAAAAGCCATGTCAAGGGCTTGCCTTACGTGTTGCTCATGCGGGGCATACACGGTGCAACCATGTGCCGTTGCAGTCTGGCGCAGCCGGTTGCATGCTTGCTTTTATTTTACGGTTTTCTCAACCCACTGTGCGGAGCTCCTACAGCATTTTGTCTGATAAGTGCAAGTGTGTAAAGAACCATGTACCCTTGGGCTTGGTGCTCGCTTTGCACCGGCTGGGGTGACTTTGCGCTGGCTGGCCGGATCAAGCGGGGCGACCACTAGTAGTTGCTGGTGGTCCTTCCGAGTTTTTGTTTGTTAATTTCGATCATGAAGGCATTGCTCATACATCACGTGCAGTTCTGGAAAGCCGTGAAGCAGACAAGCGCAAGCTATCGCAAACACTTGTAGCAGCGACAAGATTTGGAATGGTTCAAGCGGATGTAGGGTCTGCGTGGTCCTGTTTGCATTCAGGCGTTACGGTCTTGCACACACAAGAAGTACTCTTTAGTTCATAGACTTGATCCAACGTATTCCATAAAAAACATAAAAGGCTTCATCTGCGTTTGGTTGTCGAACGTCGCAGGTACATCGTGATCACGATCTTTGCTGTGCTCAACGTAGTGACCGGAGCCCTTTTGCGCAATCTTGGTGTGGGTGATTAACCGAGCGCGTAGGATTGTTCGCCAGACAGTAAAATAGGTGTTTGTGGGGCATGTAGGCAGAGAGAAAGAAGATTACCATGATCTTTTTTGGCGTGGGTGGAAAGTCCGACCATCCTGGGCCGACGGGTTGTTAGCCTCACGGGGCCCAGTCAGAAGCGTGTAGTGAGGGCGATAGGGCGTCGGCTTGGACGTTTAGATGTCTCGAAGAGGAAGTTTGAAGCGTCTTCGCAGGAATTCACAGGGTTGAGTTGACCAAGTTTTTGGCGTTGTTATCGGATTTCGAGTTGTTTAGGTCTGAAGTGCTCATGTGTTGTCTCAGTTTGACTCACGAACCATGAACGGCTTCACGTTTGTAAAGCGTTTGTTTTGTTCATGTGTTCTCTCAGTTTGACTCACGAACCATGAAACGGCTTCACGTTTGTAAAGCGTTTGTTTTGTAGTTTCGAACCAATCGCATCACAACGGTACTCGCGACGCCAATACACTGCAATGAGAAATGTAGACGAGATGATGCTGTGCGTACGCATCATATTCAGATGACAAACGTCCAACGTGTCATATCATCCGATGGACCCTCCGCAGCTTGCAGGTGTTCTGCAACACGGCCATAGAGAGCGCAGCGGCTGACAAGGCTCCAAGCAATTTACCAGAAGGATCCAGTGCGATAGCTTGCTGCACACCTTTTGGACAGGATATCGCAATCATGAAGCAGATGCACAAGCATGAAGCCCAAGTGCAGCCGCGGAGCTCAGCACCGAGGGTGTTGACTTGCCATTTAGGCAGTTGCATGTAAATTGAACTGTTTGATGGAAGCGCCAACCTTGCGGCGACACACCCCTGAGTAGACAGTCTATGGCATCGGAAGGGCTGAAGAAGACTCCTGCTGCCGCTTGCCATAGCTTGCTTGACCTACTGTATCCGTGCGTGTGGGGCCCACTGATGCATGGTTCAGGATGCCTACAGGATGGGTATTTGAGATCTTGTGCTGCGGTTCTGGCACCTGGCACTAAGGGGCGCGAAGGGCTTCTTTATGGCTCAGGGTTTGGTGTTTGGACTTGTTTGCTAGTAAGGCATCTGTAATGACTCTGTAACTGTTTAGGTTTGCATATTTCAGGAGGTGTCTTTAAAGGATTTTAAAGGCTTACTGTGGGGCTCATACACCTACATCAGCTCGCAAACACCATCTTCCGAGGTCTTTGAAGGAGATTTTCTCAGAGATTGATGTCGACTGCTCGAACATGATCACGCTCTCCGAGCTCAAGGACTTATTTAACAGAAGAGAGGTTCATGATGCGGTTTCTGTTGTTTTCAGTTTGGTTATTCGTGTTTGTTGGGTGTGGGTTGCTTGAATCGATAGGTCCCATAAGGTCCCGAGCGCTTCTGAACACAGCTGTAAGAAGGGCTGGCTGCATCTTGCGCAGCCATGCAATGAGTACGATTTCGGATGACGAGGTAAACCCTAAACCCTAAAACCTAGACCCTAAGCCCTAAACCCTAAACCCTAAACCCTAAACCCTAAACCCAGTCCTCTAGGTGCCTTAGGTAGTGATGGCACGAAGCTTGCGTCTGGTTTTCCGGTTCGATCGCAGAGCAGGACATGTGAGTTGATTCTCTCCCAGTGTGGCAGGAAGCCCTCAGGGGCCACAAGCTGCGAAACTTCATGGAGTCCTTGAACATCTCGACTCAGGATGTGTGGACACTCTTCATGCTTCCTTGCAGCAAGGGGAGGAGGGCGCAGCAGGGGGGGGGGAGGTGCAATGAATGACGCCACACCCGCTACCTCAACAACCAAGGAGGCCCGAGTCCCTTTTTGCTAAATTTAAAGCTCTGCGCCAAGTTAGGGTTTAGGGTTTAGGGCTTAGGGTTTAGGGTTTAGGGTTTAGGGTTAGGGTTTAGGGTTTAGGGTTTAGGGGCCCTCTGTTACCGGTACCAGTAACAAGTCAACAGAGCCCCTCAGCCTCCGCCAAACTATGTACCACACACTAGGAAGTTGCGTTCGTATATTATACATATCATATGTACATATATTTCTTTATTTATTTATATTCATTTTTCTTATTCATTCATTTATAAAGAGGCTGTACTGGTGCCTAAGCACAAGCAACGTGCCCCTCCCCACAACTTGCTCCACACAGGGTGGTTGATGCCGATGGTTCGGGCGAGATCTCTCTGGACGAGTTCCTAGCCCGTGAATGCTGAAGGTTCCGGCACCCTGAACTCTAGGGTTTAGGGTTTAGGGTTTAGGGTCAAGGGTTTAGGGTTTAGGGTGTAAACCTCGAGCTGAAGAGAACCAAGGACGTGGAAGTTTCCATTTTTCCCACCCATTTGGCCCTCCACTAATCCAAGATTGGGCTTAGGGTTGAGGTGCTACAAAAAACATATCCAGAGCACGACAAAGAATACGGGACCCCCGGCAAGCCCAGTCTATAGCCTCTAGCCTTGAAGGCTCTATCCCATGTGCCCCACCACCCTTGGCCCCATGAATTCTGGACCCTGCCTTATTTCTACATCCTCCTGGGGAATTCTTTCTTATTTTGGTTTGTATATAAAACCCAAGAGGATATTAAACATAATATTTCCATTAAGGTTACCAAGGGGAGTATAGATTTCAGCCCAAAAGGACCCCTGGATGGCCCTAAGCCCTGATTCCTGTCCTTAACCCTGAAAACCCAACCCTAGAAGCCGCCGAACGTGAAACCCTGAAGCCCAAACCCTAAACCGAGCCCCGTAGACCCTACCCCCCAAACTCCTAAACCCTAAACCCAAAACTCTTGAACTCGAAGCCCTAAACCCTGAACCCTAAACCCCAAACCCTAACCCCTAAACCCGTCCGAGGTTCGTTTTCGGGTGCCAGCAACTCCAGGGCCCTGCGAAGGGTCTCCAGGCGGGTTCGCGCGAAGGGTTTTCGAACCGGGGTTGCAGATTTTCCGAGAGTTTAAGGGTTTCAGGGTTTTAGGGTTGTAGGGTTGTGGCGGGTTCAGGGTTCAGGGTTTAGGGTGTATGGAGGGGGGTTTGCAGCTTTTTCCGAGAGTTTAGGGTTTAGGGTGGTAGGGCTTCAGGGGCTTAGGGTATTCGAGCTTGAGGGCTTGAGGTTTTGTACGGTTTGTAGGGTTTGCAGGGTTTGTAGGGTGTGTAGGGTTTTTAGGGCTTTAGAGGTTTTCGGGTTTTAGGGGTTTAGGGGGTTTAGGGTTTCAGGGTTTTTGGGTTTTAGGGTTAGCGGTTCAGGGTTTAGGGTTTAGGGTATAAGGTTTATACATTCGGGTGTGTACGTGTTGGAGCTATATGCTCTAGACATCTCTAGACTGAACCTTCTCAAGCCTGCAATTCTGCTGAAGTCTTGAAGCTGCTCGCTGGCACGACAGTGTTATGCTCATGCCCAAGAGTCGGATTCCTTGGCCAATGGCTTTAGCGACGATGGAAGACAATGGAGTCCCAAAGCAATCCGCAAAGTAGCACCTGCCAATCACAAAGATCCAGCTGAAGCAACCTAAAGCCAAGCAGGTTGCGCGGATGAGCTATGAAAATACGGTGCCTTGGACTTCCAGGACCGTTTAGTCGACCAATAGTGTGCCCGTCTCAAAAGAAGGCCCAGGAAAGAGGCGCTTGGTATGGCCAGAAAGCAGGTAAGATAGCACCAAAGCGACCACAAGAAACAGCAAGACATGACCAGCTGTAGCCCTGTAGCGATAGCAAGAGGTTTTGTTGTTGAGCTGTAATGTTAAGCTAAGATTTCTGAATGTCCTGTCGGCCATGCAGCCGCATCTGAGGTGATGAGACAAGAACTGCGAAAGATTCGAGACGATATGGTTCGCTTGCAGAGCTGCTCTGTTGCAAGTCGTTAAGCATGTTAGCACATTCCTTCAGCCCCATCTCTCCGAAACCCGGGCTCCTAAGCCTGCAATGAACCCAAGAGCAGAAGTGACAGAAGGTCTTTCATGTGACCTCACAGTTGTGACAGGTAATGCGCCTCTGGATATAACATAAGCCTAGAAGCTCAGGCTGACAAGTTGGCCTTGGAAATAACGTGTATGCATTCGGGCAGCCCTGCGTCGAGGCAGATTGGACCCTTCAATGCCACCTCAGCATGCAGACGACGAGGTCAGATCGGTGGCTGATGTTGTCTAGTTCCAGATGAACCACGAGAGAGAGCAAGAGAGCAAGACTCAGACGCAGCTTAGCTGTTGACAGTTCGCTCGGAGCTTCTGTATGTGAAGATAAAGCAACGCTGTGAAGGAACTCAATGCATGTATTGGACACTGGGCTAGCAAGATATTGAATGCTTTCGGTGGAAAATGGCGAAAGCGATAAGAATGCAGCGAACATCATAGTGCAGCATCACTAACAAAATCATCTGCCAAATGTTGGTATGAAGAACCCAAAAGGTGTTCATTCACTTGTAATGAACAGAAGTACAAGCACCAAATCAATTGGCAAAATTGGAGCTAACAAACATATATCGGGGGTTTATCGTTTCGTCTTGTCGTTGTTAATTAGCGGTTTGTGTTGTTCGTTCGTGTTTGTTTTTGCATAGACTGTATGTATCAGCGAGTTCAGAAGCAGTAACATGTATCCACAGGGTTTTAGTTTCAATGACATGGGAGCGGCAATGATCGAAGCTAAAATATCTGTTGCCTTCGTCACGTTACGGTCATTCCCCCCTCCCCCACCCCCGCCCCACCCCATCAAAGCCCAAACCCCAAACTTGGGATGTTTCCACCTCTAGGGGGGGTTACTATAATGCCTATTAAGGTCTGTTAGTATAGGGGGGGAAACATCCCAACCCTACTAAACCCTAAACCTTAAACCCCAAACCCTAAACCCTAAACCCTAAACAGAAGCCCGAGCCTCCTTTGAGGCAACCTGACCATGTCCCTGACGCAGCCAATGCCAAGGGGGGCGTGTTTTCAACATGAAGGCACCAGTGCCCCAAAGATTTACAAGGTGGGTAGCTTCCACCTGGGAACTCAAAACCACACCAGGATGGCTTTCAAGGTGACCCTAAACCCTAAACCCTAAACCCTAAACCCTAAACCCTAAACCCTAAACCCTAAACCCTAAACCCTAAACTGCAGGACTCGAAGGGCTCCCTGTCTAGCTCGAAGCCTCGCAGCCCAAGTAAGAGGGCAACGTATGTGACGCGAACCCGGAAGACCACAAGTTGAGCTGTAAGGGTCGGGGTCTTGTAAGCTTGTAAGCCCTAGCACACGTCCCTCCGGGCAGTAGAAGCTGTTAGGGTTTAGGGTTTAGGGTTTAGGGTTTAGGGTTTAGGGTTTAGGGTTTAGGGTTTAGGGTTTAGGGTTTAGGGTTTAGGGTTTAGGGTTTAGGGTTTAGGGTTTTGGTCTTTTCATTGCTCCAGCCACGTGCAAGACACGTCCGACGCGTGCAAAGAGGAGACTGATAATTTCATAAGCTGTCTGCAAGTCAGGCACAGCAATACTTCAACACTGGTCACCTGAGGCTCTAAGCATCTCTAAACCCCAGGCTTCCTACCTGAAGCATGAAGGCTAAAGGGTTTCGGGGAGAGGATTTAGGCTTTCGCAACCCACAACCCACAACCTACAACCCTAAACCCTAAACCCTACACCCTAAACGGATGCGAAGTTGAGTTCCAATGCCAGCGGCATGGGTTTCACCGGCCTTGCTGCCGACAGAAGCTTTCAGACCAATTCTTTTCTTGTCACTATTTTCAGTATTCTCCTGATCCATTCTGCCATTCATCAGCTCAAGTTCTTATATATGTTATTTGTGCAGCTTTCTCTGCTTCATTCTACTTTCTTATCTTAGATGATATTACTTCCCATTTTTGTCAAAAAAAAAAGCTCTATCGGATGCAGTCTGCAGTGACGGGGTTCGAGCTTACAGGGTTGATTTTTGTTTGTTTGTTATATATATATATATTTTTTTTTGTTTTGGGGGGGAGGGGTGAGGGGAGGTGTGGGCGTGGCTGAGGTTTAAGCCCAGATGAGCAAATCGCAAGCCTAATCCCGTAATCCTCAGATCGCCTCAGCCGGCCCACCTCAATCATCCCGTTCAAGACGTTTTATGATGAGTGGTTATGCTATAGCATTATGATGATTATTATGGGCTAATCCCTTCCCCCTTTTACTAAACGCCCGCCTAATAATGAAAACACTTTCCGGAAAATCCTCCCGAAACCGAGCCCGCCTTGTAAACCCTATTCCGAATTGGGGGGGCGGGGGGGGGGGGGGGGCAGGGGCCCCAAAACCCTCATGCCAACCAACAAGGACCTCGAACATGACATTTGAATAAGAGCCCCCCCTCAGACATTTCAGTTTCATATTAGGGGGGGGGGGGGGGTGGCCCCCCCGTTCAATATTAGGGGGAAGGGATTATGAGTTATCCGTTACGGACTATGAAGAAAAACAAGGAATATGTTGTGTTCTGATTACAGTGATGGCAATGATGACAACGTATCAATCGCAGAGCCTAGCCCTCAGCCTAGAACACCAGCAAGGTACAGTAGTTGACCTCGTAGGTAAAAGCTCGGAAGACTACATGGAGTACGCGCTCACTTCTCTGACCGTCTGTGTCTACAGGACGCAGCCCCGGCACAGAAGCCCCAACTCTGCATGGATGCCGGCATGGTTTCTGAAAGCTGGTGCCGCAAGCAGGCCTTTTGCCATTGCAGAAGATGCGGAGCCTGAGCTGCCAGTAAACGTCTCTACATGTCTTAGAGCCTGGCTCACAGACCAACCAACCGTGAGGCAATGAACCACCTGCTGCAGACATCCCATGTGACTGTATATGTAACTGTTGGCCCCAACTCACTAGAAGTATACAGGCAATATACTGGAGTTTTCCCAAAAACGGTACTCAACAGGTTTGCCGGGTACCTGGCTCTTAGCAACACATGCTGTTGCGTTTCGGTCTCTACTGAACACGGCCACGGTCAACCCAACCCCTACCGACCCCATATTTCTGCAAACCATGAACCCTAGCTCCCCAAGCCTTGAGCCCCATTAATTGGTGGTAGCCGAAAAGCTTCCGCCAGGAAAAGCCTTGCAAATTAGCATCCCTCCATGATTTCCCAATCCCACAGCCTGATTGATAGCCAACAAGTGCGCCACTCCAACTTGAGGGCATTTCGTGTATTCGGGCATCCTTCATGGTTAAGGTCATCAGCATATTCAGGGTATTTGGGGCTTGCAGGACTCATGGGATTTATAGCGCTAGTAGGGTTTCGGCAAGGTGTGGTTCTGCGGATCACGCTTCAAGGACAGCGATGGTCTGCCAAATGGTCGCTCTTGCATGCCCACCCTAGCTGATACTTACGCTTGAAGCTCCCCTCCCCCTTTCCCATGAAAGCACGGACTAAACGC